CAGCAGAACCAGGTACATGGTGTCCAAGAGTGAGCCTCTTTGTTGTGGTCACTATTGCCTGACTGAACCCCACTAACGGTCACACCTCTGGTCAGGTGGTCTGTTTATCCAGTATCTGGTAACCTTTCCCTGGGCCATTTAGTCTGGTGGCCACACTGTTTCTAGAAATCTCTCTGCATCTGGCTTACACTTTCATGAACAGTCTCTTGATTAAATTCCCACATCATCCTATTTGAGGGTTCCATCTGTTTCCTATGGGGACATGACTGATCTCAGACTGGAAACCTCAATTGGTCAAATTTGAAATCCCCAGAATCAGGTCCTCTTCTTAGTATAATTTCCTCCCTTCACTCCAGGAAGCAACCTGCAGTTTTCACCAGGGATGCTTTGGCCTGCTTGAAGTGTCCCCCTGGTCTGCCCCAGAGCTACTTGAAAGTAAAGAAGTCTTTGTTCTCTCTCCCATTCATTTCCTCTCCTTTCCGGTTCCATTTCCACTCCCTGGAAACCCCACTGTCTCTATTACTGAATTCTAAATAACATCCCAGTGGAAGAAAAGGCTTATTTAGCCAAGGGTCTTCCTTCATTGTTTCATTTGCAGGCGATCCCCTCCCTCCCACTCTTTCCTTTTCATCTGTTTTGCTCTCCCTGGCCTGGGCCTTTGTCCTTCCCTCCAGCCTCTCCCAGCTCTGGGTTCCTTAAGATGCTAATCACACCGGTTGCTTCTTGTGCGGAGAATATTTCCATTTATCAAGTCACCACAGCCTTCGCCTTGGGGAGGGACACAGGCAAGGGCAGGGACACTTTCCAGTCCTGAGGCTGTTTCTCTTTCCCTTTCCTTCAGTTTGAATTGCAGCCATTAATTTTTTTTTTTTTGCCTTGGTCCCCTTTAACCTTCCTGGGCCCTGTACCAACTCTCCCTTGTCCTTATTCTCTATCTTTGAATTAGAAAGGAGATGCAGGTTGAACCCCCTCCAGGTGGTGTCATTAGGTGCCTGAATGTCTTCTGCCTCCTTTGGGTCCCCCCAGAAGTGATATAAGAGGAGAATTCTTGCACCAGGCAGTTTGAACAAGAGGAGATAGGGACCCTAATTGGAGTGCTGGTGGGGATTAGAGAGAGCTCATAAAATTCTCAAGTCTGTTATTATGGGTGCAAAAGGGAGACTTCTGTAGGCTAATACTCATAGAAACTCTGGAAAAGGTACAGAATCCACACCCCAATGTGGGGCAAGAATGGGGACAAGACCTAAGCTGTTTTATTTGGGGTGGGGGAGGAGAGGAGGTTGTGAGGGAGGTGTGGAGCCTTATGGGTGAATCAAGGATTCCAGCCCAAGTCTGGAGGAAGTCCCCAAGACAGGGCAGAAAACATGCATGGCCCCACGCCCCACTTTCAGACAGTATAGCGCTTAGGGTCATGACAAGAAAGGGACAATGACTGAGAGTGAGCTTTATGATGGCTGCTGTTAGATGCCCCAGCTTCGGCTTCCTTCCCCGGGAAGCCCACAGTCCATGAGTTCTAATCCCCATCTCTGTCTTCTAAGTCTGAATTGGGGGAACATTCTTGTCACCCACCCTCTTCCCCTTTCTGCTCTCTGCCTACAACTCCAGTATCATCTTCTTGATGAAAGATTATTCTTCCAAGCACCATCTCCATCTAGCCTTCCTGTTCTACTGGCTGTTTTACTTTCCCTGGGGGGGTCAGAGGGAAAAGTACTATCCCCTATAGGCTTTGGGAATCTTGCTGAGACTCAGTGCTTCCACTGAACATTCCATTCCGTTGAAATTCCTCTTTATTGAGTGCCAGCCATTTGTTAAATTGAGAAGACATAAGTGCAGGGTGACCTGACCACGTTCCTGCTTTCACAGAGCACCTACTGTGGTGAGGACAGGGGGAAGTCTATGGAGGATTATGCAATTCATCTCCTTTTAGTCTGGGACATGAGTACCCAATCCACAAAATCCAACGAATTCCCTGGCGCAGTGATGATGGTGCCAAGAGCTGAAGAATTAGTAGCAGCATAGCACTTAGGAGAGAGAGGAAGAGTACATTGATAGGAGAGCAGAATGTGCAAAAGCCCTGTGGCCTGGGTGGGTGACAGGTCAAGGACCAAATGAAGGCCAGTGTGGTTTCATGGAGGAGTCTGGTGGAGAAAGGGTTAAGTTTGGATTAAGACTAGAGGCAGCTCAGGGCTCTTAGATAAAGAATGCACAAGAGTAAAGGGCAGCTGGAGTAAAGGAGTTTCAGCAGGACAATGATGTGATCGAATTCATGTTCTAAGGAAGTCTTGCTGGATTCTTTCAGATACCAGGTAGGTAGAATGTGATGGTACAGGTGGGAAGTGTGGATGGGGTACAGATTAGATGCAGAGCAACCAGGACGGAAGCCTGGATAGAGCTGTTGATGGCAGCAAGAGTGCTGAGGGGCTGGGTGAACCCGGGGAGTTCCGGAAATAGACAGCTGGGCTTCTCCCCATTGACACCTGGGCTTTGGCCCAATCTCTGATCGAATCATGTACATCCTCATCTGCCATGGAGGTGGGGGTTTCTGTATTCACTGAGTTGCAGTCCTTTGTTTTATCTTAATGTGCACCATGTCCCAGGAAGAGATAGTGTTGCTACCACTTTAGAGAGGAGACTCAGGCTTAGCATGAGAAGCCAATGCCCCTCAGCTTTACTATATACCTTTCCCAGACGTCCCAATCTGAGAGGAGAGATAGACTAAGTGACCAGATATTTTACGCTACAGTACACTCAGCTTAAAGTCACCTCCTATATCCTCACCCATATTCCTAGGAGCAAAGACCAAGGGTCCCAGTGCCCAGCCAGAGTCGGACTTAGAACAATCTCCCATATTACGGGTTTGAATACACATCTCCTGACTGGATGCCTCTTTCCTACACTCCTCTCGCCAGAAATCTTGCTCTCTGCATTCCACCTTCCAAGAGACCAAATACGTTTTTTGGTTAATTCTGTGATTCATTGTCCATTCCTAAATCAGCACAGGAAACAGCATAGCTAAAACTTCTCTTTCTTCCTTCCCAAGCTGCCTGGATCTTACACTTTTTCCTCCCAGTTTTTCCCCCTTAGGCAATTTCTAGACAGTTAGACAAAACAAATCATTGAATTGTACTAGAAATTATTTCTTTGTCAGGATTTGTTTTTCTTTCTTCCTTTCTCTTTTTTTTCCCCCTGGATGCACTGGGTTACCCAAGTTGAGACTGAATTAGAGAGATATCACAGGTCCAGACTGGCTGCCTCCCGAGAGATGAAGGCTTCCTGTTCTAATCAGCATGTGTACTCAGCATTTCATAGGAGCATCTCATATTTTGTATATTGTATCTAACACTGCCCAATACTAGCAAATAATCCATCAATGTTAGGTATCAGGTTCAAGGTCATTCTCTTTCTCATCTCCTCCCTCAGGACTGTGGACCACCCCACACAACAATGAGTTTCTGGGGCTAGGGAAATTATACAGTGGGTTGTATTATTTCCTGCACATGACTGACCCAGGTTCGATCAGAGACATCCCAAATGTTCTCCTGACCAGTGCCAGGAGAAATTTCTGAGCACAGAGCCAGGAATAACCCCTGAGCATTGCTGAGTGTGGCCCCCTAACCAAATAAAATAAAACAGAAAGAATGGGTTCTTGCCTCTCCAGGCCTCAACATCCCTGGCTGAAGCCACTCCAGCAACCCTGTGATCTCCAGCTCCTCTCTTGAAATCAAACCTTCCCATCAGCAACCTCAGTGATCTTTCCAAAATTGTCATCTCCTCATGGCCCCTCCTTTGCCCAGCACCTAGTTGGGATTACTTCAAGTCCTTCCCCTTTCTGCCAGGTTGGGGTTGGGGAGATTCCATGAATCCTGGTTTGGAGGTGATATGTTTTAGCAACTTGCTCATTTGTGACTCTAAGAGACTAACTCTATGGCTAAGAGGGGATGGCGACAAACCCTAGAACCAGAGGTTATGAATTTCCTCAGTGACCTCCATTTTAGCACTGCCAATACTTGAAAGGTGAGGAATGTGAAGTTTGCAGACATCACATATCTTGCCCACAGCTCTACAACTGGGAGACAAGTCCAGACAGTATGGCTTTGGAGGATTCTAATCACTCTGCAGCATTGCCTCCATCAAACTGAGATCCAGATGTCTGCAGAAATGGCAGAATTTATTGCAGAGCATAAGGCGATGCCCTGCCATGGACATGCTCTCCTCCTTCAGACTCTGTGCTACAAATGCCTGGGCCAAAGCAGGCCCTGAGTAGCAGGCGCTTGTCTTGGAAGTCCTATTACACAAGCAGTACAATCTAGGGGAAATGGGGCTAGAGAGATTGCACAGAGGTTAAAATGTTTGCCTTGTATTTGGTTCATCCCAGTTCGATCCTTACCACCACATACTGTCCCCCGAGCATCGCCAGGGATTATATCTGAGCTCAGAATCAGGAATAGCCCCCAAGAGCTTCAGAGTGTGCCCTGTCCTCTAAATCTGGGGAAGCCGTCATGCCCTGAAGACTGACTCATGAGCACTGAGCTGGCCGCCACTACTCCAAACCCTCAGGTTCAGGCTGCAGATTTCACTCCTTCTGAGCATTAATCCCTGTGTAGCATTAATTCTTTTGTTGCCGAAAAGTTCTCAGCCCTTCCCTCATTGGCTGGATCTTGCTCCTCGCCATTCATAGCTGCTCAGGTAATCCTGTGCATTAAGGAAATTGCTGGAGCACAGATGTACACTTTGGGCTGTGCTTCCTCCTTAGTCTGAGAAATTTGTGAGTGGGCAATGACAACCTACTACAGAGACTTCCTGGATCCACTCTGCCTGGACCCCAATACCCCTCTAGCTGAGATCTGGCTCTCATTTAGACCAGGTTTGAGAGGCAGACTGAAATAATACCCCCAAGATCAGGGATCCAAGCAGAAAATAAATCATTCCAGGAGAATAACGGTTATAACTTTGTTTCCCACCAACCCCAAAGTCTGGAGCCCTCCCAGCAGGACACCTACAGGATATGATGTTCCCATATCGATTCTTATTGCGGTTTTCGTCCTCTTTGGCTGTGTCCCATGAAGCTGTCTGTCCCTCCGGCAAAGCCTAGGAAAGAAAAGACAGGGCAGTTAGAATGGTCTGGAGAGTGAGTTTATCCAGGTGTACATGAGCCAATGAGAGTCATTGTAATGGACCAAATGTAAGAGGGTTGCATGCTCTTTGGGGGGGGAGGGGGAGAGCTTGGACAAGACACTTGTCCTTTTCATGGACTTCATCCCTTGCTCATTGACTCAAATATTATCAGTGTTTTCTGCATGCCATGAACTCAATACTGTTCTACAGAGGAGACATTCATTCTTTTGTTCATTCTTCAATGATTGAACAGTTATTTATTGTGCCTCTAATGTGTGTTTGGTGCTGTCCCAGTCAAAAAAAATAGACAAATGCCTTTTGACCTTCTAGTCACCCAGGAGATACAAGTGAACATGCAAATATACATAATTTTATTTCTTTTTGCTGTTTTAGGGCCACACCCAGCAGTGCTCAGGGCTTACTCCTGGCTCTGTGCTCAGGGATCACTCACGGCAAGACTCAGGTGACTATATGAGGGATCAGGGATTAAATCCGGTTGGCTGCATGCAAGGTGCGCATCCTACTCACTGTACTATCTCTTTAGCCCCGACTAGTGTATATAATTTAAATAGTGGAAAATGCTACAAAGAAAATAAAGGAGAGTAAAAGACAGGTGATGGGCGATAGTAAGTTTTCAGATGACATAAAGGAGAGGGTAAAGGCAGGAGCATCTTGAGAGGCCGGAAGATTGTAATAATGGTTCTTGGGAACATGCCGAGTCTTATACTAAATGTGCTGGGAAATCACAGGAAAGGGGACCCAACTGATTCATATTTTACAAAGTACATCTTGGCTCACATAGGGACAAGGGTTTTAAGAGGTCCAAGAAAGAGATGGAGTGATCAGGTGGGAAATGGTTGCAAAAATCCAGGCAAGAGGGGCAAGTACCTGGCACCACTGCACTAGACGGTGGCCATGGATGTAGCGAGAAATGATTATATTCAAGACAGTTCAGCTGCCTAGTACTGTTTTTGGTTCCCCGAGAAGAAAAACGGATCTGAGTCGAAGCAGTCTATTTGGAAACCATCCTAAAGAGCATGGTGGGAGAGCGGAGATGGTTAGACAACCAACTGGAAAGGAAGTCAATAAAGCAGGTTCCCACTCTATGTTCCTGGGGCTGGAATCCATGGGCCATCGCAGGCCTTGAGCTGTTCTACCAGTGGGAGGAGGGAGCTGGGATATTGATCTACCAGTTCCAAACTGTTTCTTAGCTGAAAACAAACATTTTTGTTTGATTTGGGGACACACCTGGTGGTGCTCAGGGCTTATTCTTAGCTCTGCACTCAGGGATCACTCCTGATAGGGCTTGGGTAACCATATGGGGTACCAAGAATAAAACTTGGGTCTACCATGTGAAAAGCAAGTGGCCTGTCCACTGTTCTATTTCTCTGGTCCAGAGCTGGAGACAAACCCTTAGGAAATTGAATTGTATAGCTGCAGGATCTGGAGGCAAGAGAGGCATATTATTGTTCAGTCCAAGGGAAGCTCTCATGACAAAAGCTATGATATTTCCAAGATGCTGGCACTGGGTGGGCACAGAAGGATGTGGGCAAGGTAGCAGCATTCTGCTGGAGATATGGATCATGAAGGAAAGAGAGAGAAAGAGAGAATGGGCATACAGGACTGTGCAAAAGGAGGGTCCTGCCCTTTATTGAGATGAAGAAGGAGGAGAATTGGGGAGGTGGAGTTAAGCATCTTCTGGGTGCATAGTCAGCACTATACCTTCACTGAGTATGTTTGCTTCTTAATGAATCCCAGCAGCAGTAGCTGCTGACATGTTTAAGATGACTCTTAGGAATCCAAGCTGAGATGCTGAGTAGAAATTTGAATGTAAGGTCCAGAGTCTGTCTGGAGGAGGGAAAGATGAGGCATCAGTTTGAGAGGAGACAGACAAGTAAACAACTATGGGGAGTGACTGGAGATTTAAGTGCCAAGTGTTATGGAAATGCAGGAAATGCCAGCTCAGAAAGATGGAGGGTTCTTAGAGAGATGGAAGTGGGGCAGTGAACTGTGCAGGAACAGCTCTAAGAAAGTTGCAGGAGCAGGAAGGTAAGACCCTGTTTTAATGACTGCCCCCACCTGCTTAGGTGGAAGAGCCTGAAAATTCCACTCACAGCTCTTGCGTGACTTCTGAGACTGAATCTGCAATAGCGTCAGCCTACAAAAGTCTTTCTCAGCAGTGTAGCGGAGAGAAGCTTCCACTCTGCCTTTGTCATCTATTCCTGCGTGGTCTAGCAACATCTGAGAAGGAGGAGTTTGTAACCTGACTGGAGGGACACGCAATCACTCTATGGTTTACAGTCAGGCAGCACCACTGGATGGAAAGTCCAAATTTTTCCCAAGGCTTTTTTCTTACTTCCTGTCTTCCCTGTGGTAGGTCAACCTGGGTGCATCTTCTTCTAATAAGACACAGGCAGACTTTTATGTGATGGGCCAGGTAACTGAAGTTTGGGCTTCGTAAAACAGTCAGTCTCTTGTAACTACTTATACTCAACCTCATTGGCTTATCAAAGAGACAAAAGGCAAACAAAGTAAATGATTAATGTTCCAATTAGATTCTTTACAAGAAATGATGGCTGAACTTAGCCTGGTATAGTTTGTGACCTTTATTTCAGACATGTGTTCATCCCCTTTTCCATGTAGTGGTGAGGCAGGAAGGAACTGGGGCCTATTCTGAGACCTGGCCACTGCATGTGGGATGGAGATGGGTGAGGGGCCCTTGCCTAAATTCCCGAGCAAAGTAATGTTTTCCGATACACTTCTCCTCAGGGTTTTAGACTGGGGTCATACCTTTCCAGCTATCAACTGATAGGCACTTGATCTTTATATGTACATAAAAACCTTAAACAGGCATTCTGAAGTAGAAGCAAAACAAAGCTAATTGGTTCTGGGTACCAGCCCCTGCCCTAAATCAAGATGTTATAGAGATAGGAAAAAGTACTCATTGTATTAACAAAGGGCTAGCTTGTCTCTCTTTGCCTTTTCCTCTTCTTAGTCCCAATTTCAGAATGACCTTGCATCCCTCTGGCCACGCATGTAGACCTTCTCTAGATGGCAAATGAGTCTTGATTTTGCGTGTACCCAGGAGTTCCAGTTCTTTTAGGTGCCTTGCCAGGGAAACCTACCCCTGAAAGGTTGGGGCACACTGGAGACAGAGTCTTGCTGCTCTTTTGAATCTTTATTCTGGGATGGATTTGTTACCTGAAACCCTCTGTGACCAAACCCAGTGTTCATTCAAGCCCTTTCAAGTGAACTTAACCTAAGACTGGGACATATTGGATAGTTCATACTTCTTTTTGGGGGGAACATAAATCTGATGAGTACCTATGTGCCAGAGTTTAGGTGAGAGTTAGCTTAAGGTATCAGTAGAGCTGCAACAATGGAATAATCTGGGGAAGTTTTAAGAATGGCAAAGCCACCTCCCACCCCAGACCAATCTAGTAAGATTTTCTGGGGATGGGCCACAGAATCAGCGGTGTTTATAGCTCCACAGGCTATTTAAATGTGCAGCCATGATTCTTGCAAACAGTGAGTTTACCTGGAGAAACACTTTCCCACGAGTCTCCTCACGGGTTTCTCTTGCTTTGGTTTTGTCCCCTCCACTCCATTCTCCACTGTAATCAGAGAGATCTTTCTAAAATGTGAATAGGACCCAGTTACTCCCCATACCATTGCCTTCAGGATAAATTCCAAATTCTTTAGCACAAGGTCCTCAGTGACTTCATCCCACCCCCTCCAGCCTTGGGTCTTGCCCTTATATCAATAGTCCAAGGATGGAAAACAGTGCAATGCTGCGGGTAATGTCAGGTCTTTCAAACATCTGAGAAAGATGTGAGACATGTTCCCTCTGCCTGAAATTCTCTTCCACCTGCATTTGCTTGGAAAGCTCCTACATGTCCTTTAAAACCCCACTCAAGGATCTTCTCTTCTGGTGAATGCCTTCCCACTCGTCCATCACCACCCCATTGCTGTCCCAGGTAGAGTCAGTCACTTCTGTTATTAATGGACTTCTTACCAATCTGGTCCTGTGAAAATCTTGCTTCCCAACATAGTAACGAGCTGTATTTCTGGAAAGTGTAGCATTGTATTTGCTGCTGTCCATCTCTCCTGAACCCAAAACTGACTTTGTATTTCACACATGGTTATGATTGATTGAATGGATGGAGGGATCGATGGATAAAAAAATACGCATGCAGAAGGTAAAGACCCTAAAAATCTCAGAGGGCAAGTGAACTTGACAATCATCTCATTAGGTTCCTGTGTATCCCGCACCTTTAAATGACACGATTTGGGAAACTCTTCAATGTCCAGTCCATGTCTTCTAGGACATACCCAGTATGCAGTTAGCTTTTGAAGAATCCGAGACTAAACAAATCATTTGCGACTTCTCCATGGGGAACTAAGCAGACCTAGCCTAAGCGGAGCTCTTGGATTCCTTGTGTCTACCTAGAAGGGGGGATGCTGATGGAGACTGTGTATGTGGGGTGCTATGTTGATGTTGACAGAGGCAGCAAAGACTAGGCCTAATAGAGGCACCCAGGAGTGAGTGGTAATGACCCCCTAATTGACAGCCTTTGATCACACATCCATTTCCCTTTTTAGGGAGCTGCAATCTAATAGGGATAATCTCTTAAAGGAAAAAAAACCACAAGGGGGTAAAAGTATGAAAGGGAGACTCATCTCTAGCTTCAAAGTGAGCCAGCCGAGGGGCATTATTTTTACATTAGTGGCTAGTTACAGTAGATTGACCAGGGAATGGTGGCAGTCATTAGGAGCTAATCACATTCTTTTGAAACCAAAATTGCCATCTCATTATATTCATCCATTATCAATCTCCGCTTTCCTTTTCTTATTCTCTTCTCCTTTGAACACTGAGCTCTATCTTTACACTCTTCTCTGAGTGTGGAAACATTTCCTTGTTACAACAGTATTGCTTGCCCCTCCCCCTTTTTGGGGTCCTAAAACATGCCATT